GGAGAAAATCCATAAATAGTAACAGAGTGTTCTTGGTTTTGACAGCACCTCGGAGATTCCTGAGTGACTGTGGTTGCCAAGACCTCGGCTTAGGTGACCAGAACACAGAATTTCCAGGGAGCATCTGTGGGATGCCGCAGTCTTTGCTGAATGAAGACATGATTTTTATCTGTTAGTGGGTATTTGTCAAGGCCTTCTCTTTGCGGAAAAAAAGCCCACACTTTGCCATCGATGGCAAAATGGCTTGAGTGTTCCCTGCTAGATTTATGGGAGAACGGTTGAAACCTCCAAACTTCTATCCTGAACTGCAAAGTTGAGAGATAGAGAGCCGTTCACATTTTCTTATAATTCTAGTCCTTGATAATCCAATGGGGGCGGTTTGTTGTTGTTGTTATTGTTCGGTTTGATTTTGGGGTGTCCATCCCCTATTCACCAAACACACCAAATTGGACTATCTGGTGGATTACAAATTCCACCAGTAGATGGGTCCTCAACGCTTCAAAACTCACAAGAAAGGGCGGAATAGCCGCTCCAGGGAACAGACTTGACACCCCATCCTTTTCTCTCGGAGTGACTTTAAAATGAACCTGCAAGCTTTGGCATCAGTCTGGCAAGGGCATGGTAGTCACAGCTCAGGGCTCAGCTTTCAGGAGGATCTGGCTGACCACAGTACACATCTCGAGAAAACAGGGAATGCCCGATGATGGAGACACTTTTTTAAAGCTCTGCGGCAGCTGTGGGCTGACCGGGTTGGCACCCACTGTGTGCATCCTGTGCGTTTAGGGTTGGGAAGCTTGGCCTTAAAGAGCGTGGGTTCCAGCTCTCACTTCCCACAAAGGAGCAGTAAACTTTGAAAAATCTGCCCCACAGAAGGTTACTGATGTGGGGACAAGTCTGTGCGGTATGTGTGGGAATGCCATTGACAGCCTAGTTAATGTGCCCTGGGAGCTGGATGACATTGGGTAGATCATCTTCCAGCGTCCCTTTTCCCATGCAAAAGGTGACCGAGTGCTGTCTAGCTTGTGGAGCTTGTCGCAAGTGGACATGGGCAATCTTGTCACAAGTGGACAAGGGACTCCTTGCAGTCAGTTCTCAGGCCTGTTGCTTTAATTCCTTCATCCTCTTTACATGGAGAAGTGTGGTTCGCGTTTATGAGTGCAGCATGGATCACAATTCAGCAGCACCATAACGAAGATGTGTATCCATCATCACCATGTGTCCGTCACAAACACAGCCATCAGAAAGACAGTCCAGGGGAGCAAGAACCTGCATGGAAGTGGGAACACTTGAGGGATTTGCCTTTTCTTTCCCTTCCTTCCTTCCTTCCTTCCTTCCTTCCTTCCTTTATTTAAGAGCTTTTTTTTTTTTTTTTTTTTTTTTTTTTGGCTCAGTTGGAGGCTACACACAGTTTATCACAGCTGAGACCCACCCCCTTCGCAGCAGGAGCTTGAGGGAGCTGATTACATCATGCACCTTGGCAAGATGGCACAGCAAATGAAGGGCTTCCGTGCATACCTAAAGACTAAATGCAACACCTAAAAGCCAAGGGAGAAGGGGAGAACTGATTTCCAAAAGTTGTCCTTCATATTCCCACTTACCTTGTGCTTTCTCTCTCTCTCTCTCACACACTCTCTCTCTCTCTCTATCTGTCCAAAGTAAAAATAACAAATAGTGTAAAAAAGTAAATATAAAAAGAAAAACTTGTAAACAGGCAGCGTAGTTCATTCCAGTAATCCCAGCACTCCAGAAACTGTGACAGGACAATTACTGAGAACTTGGAACCAGGCTGGGCTACATAGTGGATAGGGCGTGTGTCCCTGTTTCAAATCAAACGGATGAACAAAACCAGAGTTCGTAAAGGTATAATTCAAGAGGATAAAAAGAAGGAAGCAGAGTTAAACTCACATCCACAGCCAGAGATTTTCAGAGGTTGATGGGGCACCATCCCTGCGCGGGCCCCACCCCAGGTGCACACTACAGTCAGGAACAAAGCTCCCCACGTTCCAGGATATTGAATTTGGGCTCAGGGAAAGCCAGACATCATGTAATCACGGTTTGGAATTACAATGTCTAATAAAAGCCCACGAACTTGCCAATTTTTTTTTTAAATCAATTACAAAGCTCTGTGTTTGGAAGAAGGTAGGATGGGAAAGAAACTGAACGTGGGAGAAACCTCTGCACCAGGTCACGTGTTTCCAGGGCAGGCGCAGACAAGGGCAGGACTGTCCTCCAAGGAAATGACCCGTTTGAAGGGAAGGAAATAAAGAGCGTGTAGACACCCCTCGCTCAGACTATTCTAGCAAGGACCACCTGCTCAAATCTTCTGTCCACACGCTTGTTCTGTGATGGGGCCAATGGACTTTCCTTCACTGCTACATGGAATTAACACAGACGCACCTGCACTATTGAGTGAGCTCTATTAGGAGGTTCTGGGAACATGTGGCTGTGGGGCTAGTAAAGTAACACACGGTTGTGCACGTTTAGTTTAATCCACTCCTAGCACTGTTGTTAAATCCCTAATAACTAGGAACAAGCGACCACGCCTTTATACCCTATATAAACAAACGTGTGGGGTTCCAACCATTATGCAACTAGCCATTTCTGTAAGTCTGTGTGCCTTTCCGCGGAGCCTGGTGGCCCATGGTGGGTCCTTTCAGCATGCCTGGCTAAGGCCGACTGAGCTGAGGGTCTTCCCCTGTGGCCCATACTGAAGACTGTATGTCTTTCTTGCAGGTTGGGCCTCTTTTAAAATGCAGGTTGGTGTCTGTGCCTTACACACACACACACACACACACACACACACACACAAACCCCAGCATGTCTATTGTCTTTTCCCTAAAATCTAGAGTTGTAGGTGCTTTCTACTACGGGCATTCTAAGAATTACTAATTTTAGGATTAACATGAAAAGATTGCGTTAAACAAAGATTAGCTTAATCTTATGCTCTTGAGTATACGTGTGCCTCATAAGCCTTACATGGGTGGCCAAAGTGATCTCTAGTGTTTTTACTTCATTTTGTACAAATTTCTCTGGACCCTTCATACTTGATATTTCATGAATCAGGATCTGCTGTAGATGCCAAAGGCCACTGTGTGAGAGAGGGGGCAGAGGATGGCAGGTGGGAGAAGAGAGAGAGAGAGAGAGAGAGAGAGAGAGAGAGAGAGAGAGAAACGTGTGCCACACTACTTACGTTGAGGTCAGAGGACAACCTCGGGTGTCGGTCTTGCCTCCTTCCTGTTTTGAGACAGAGTGTCTCTTGTTGTTCATGCATGCATATGCCAGGCTAGCTGGCTGGACATGCTCCTGCCTGTTTCCCATCTCCCCACAGAGGTGCTGACTTGACACACATGTGTACTATGGCACCCAGCTTTATGCGGGTCCTGAGGTACAAACTCAGGTCTTCAGGTTTGCACAGCAAATGCTTTAGTGCCCACTGAACTGTCATCTACCCAGGTCCTGAAAGGGGTCACTTTGAAAGGATAAAATACAATTTAACTACATAATGAGTCATTTCTACAGCCCCAAGCCCATGGACCACAGCAAGAGTGGGCAACCTTGCCAACACATGCCCTCACACAAGAGCAAGGGCACAATGACCCTTAAGGGATAAGCAGTAGTCCTTAGTAGTCCAGCAACCTTCCTCTCCCAAAGTTATCTCCTAAGACAGAGCAGACAAGAACCAAACATGGTCCCTACACGAAGTCAGGACTGATGGCTTCAAGGAGGGGAGGAGGGACAGAAGTAAAAAGGGGGGAAAGGGAAAGGTTCCTTGTGAACTAGGGAAAGACTTCCCAAGAGCAACCCATACTTCATCATTGTTGACAATCACTGTGGTCATTGGACGGGAAGGCCGGCACAGCCCAAGAAGGGAAGGTGTATCATGTTTGCACTCACCTGGAGGAGATACAGGACACACCCAAAACAATATGTAAATCAATTATAAAGTCTCTTGTCTATTTTATAACCCAAAAATGTCTTCCCAAGGACATAGGGGCCATGGCTTGGAACACAATCTTCAAAGAAGAAACCATCCCTCTCACGTGTGAGCCGCGTACCCTATCCTGTGGGATGATGGGAGCCCGACTCCACTGGCATCCAAACTGTAAAACTACCATCTGTTGAGAAGACACGAGAAGGTGGCAGAAGTCACTTCAAGCAGATGGCTCCATCTCCCTCTTACCCCACTGTTTAAGAATCCTCTGCCCTGTTTCAACAGAGCTGAATTCAGACCAAGTGCTGGCCTCCCTCACCAACTGCAGCAGCCTTTTTATGCCTGCTTAACTTTGCCTGGTGCCAGTCTTGTGCTGGCATCAATACCGTAAATACACCGCTGCCCAGACGCGTTGCATTCCCACAATCCCTGTTCTATGAGATCATGACTAAATCACATTAGGCAATGTGCATGTGTTGTGTGCATCTTCCTGGGTTTGGGGAAGGCACATCTGAGTTCAGGTCGACAGTGGGGAAAAGGAAGCGGGTAGCTGGAGCTGCCCTCTGCGGGTTTACTGAGTTTCCTCCTCCAAAACCTGATAGAGTCCTTCGCTCAGCTCACGTCGGGCACTGTCTGAGGCATTTTACTAATATGATCTCAATGAACTAAAACAACTCTTTGGAACAGCTTTAGTGTTGTTGTTATTTTGGGTGGTTTTTTTTTTTTTGGTTTTTTTTTTTTTGTTTGTTTTGTTTTGCTTTTTCGAGACAGGGTTTCTCTGTGGCTTTGGAGCCTGTCCTGGAACTAGCTCTTGTAGACCAGGCTGGTCTCGAACTCACAGAGATCCGCCTGCCTCTGCCTCCCGAGTGCTGGAATTAAAGGCATGTGCCACCATCGCCTGGCTTTTTTTTTTTTTAACATCGTTAAAATATTTATTTTGACAGTCTATCGTGAGTCAGTACAGGCTCCACTCTGCCACAGATGCGCTGAAACAATGTCTTTCTCATCCAGCCAGAGTACACAACTTCCATGTTGGATTGCTTCCAAATCCAGATGACCAAACAGGCCTTTATCCCCAAAGTAGGCTTAAAACTGATGGTTCAGGCATTCCAGGATCTGCACCCCTCGTAAATGCCAGGTAAATCACGAGAGGAATGAAGTCGCCCTTGAAGAGCTGCTGCAGCCTCTGTTTAGCTTCTTTACTCAGCTTCACCGTGGCGACAACGGAGCACTGGAATGAGGAACCTCCACAACAAGGACCGCGTCGGTTTTGTTTTGTTTTATTAATAGCCCAGTGTTTTCAGGCAAGGCACACCTCTTCCACCATGGACAGCTTAACTTGACTTGCTCAAGCTCACACAACTGTGGACCACAGGATGCTGGCGTTTGATTCTGGTGTCCAATCATACTACTAGATTTCACCATAAGAACAGAAGAATACTGGAGCGAGTCTTTCTCCATCCAGTCAGCTTCCAAATAACAGCACAGAGACTTATTAATTATGAAAACTCAGCCTTAACTGAGCTCTTCTAACTTAAATTAACCTGTTTACATTCATCTATGTTTTACCTCGTGGCTTTTCTCCTTTTATTCTGTTTGTCCAGCTCCCTCGGTATCTCGTTGGCATCTCTCACACAACCCGGATTCCTCTCATCCCTATCTCTCCTGCCTCCCTATTGGCCATTCAGCCTTTCATTACACCACTCAGCAACACTCCTTCACAAAGTGTACAAGTATCCCACAACAGAACACCAAGGCGTCGAGACAGGCCCCAGCAGATCTGCTCAGGTATCCGGGTCTAAAGTCTCTACCAGGAAGGGATTTTTTTTTTTTTTTTCAGAGCTAAGAGCCCACAGCATCTGCAGCATCACCATGCAGTCTTCCATCTCACAGACTTGGACAGGTGCATTTGGTTCCTCTCCCACTGGCTCCCCAGGTCAGAGGAGATTTCCATACAAAGCCACGACAGAGCTTTCCTGTAAGTCTTCTGACTGTGAGCCCAAGCCCAGAGGCTCCCAGAGAAGAACCTGTTTCTCTGCAGTGTGCCACGGTGACAGTCTCTGAGAACAAACAGTGGGTCATTTTCTCTGTGCAAGGTGACCTTGGGTGAACTGGCAGTTGTGACGGCCCTTGCACAGTGGATCCCAACAGGCCCAGAACCTGTTCAGCTCCCTGATTGCTCCTTCCACTCTTTCCAACTTTCTTCACTCCCCTGCTGTTTTAAAAGGAAAAGACCCAGCCAGGTGGTGGTGGTGCATGCCTTTAATCCCAGCACTTAGGAGGCAGAGGCAGGTGGATCTCTGTGAGTTTGAGGCCGGCCTGTCTACAGAGTGAGTTCCAGGACAGCCAAGGATACATAGAAAAAACCCTGTCTCGAAAAACCAAAGAGAAGAAGAAGAAGGAGAAGGAGAAGGAGAAGGAAAAGGAGAGGAAGAGGAAAAGGAGGAAGGGGAAGGAGAAGGAAAAGGAGAGGAAGAGGAAGAGGAGGAAGGGGAAGGGGAGAAAGGAAGGAAGGAAGGAAGGAAGGAAGGAAAGAAGGCAGACAAGACCCACGACCGAGCCACCACTGCTTGCACAACGAAAGAAAGAAAGCCAAGTGGAACTGCACATGAACATCAGCCATGGCTACTTCCCTGGGATCTCCAAGTTTCCAGAAGAGTTACAGAGGTGTTGTACATGGACAGCTTCAGTCCAGGCGCAAGGAAGGCGTAAGGAGCCGAAGCCAAAGCCAGACGGGCACTCCCAGTGGGCAGCATCATTCTCTGGGACTCCCTTTCCCCATCTTTGGAAAGCCAACCCTGTATCTGCGCCTTGCAGCCCCCCAGGGCTGTTAGAAAGCTCAAATGAAATAACGTCTGTATAAGCGCTTAGTAAACTGTAAAACGCCTTACAAATGTAAGGGATTCCTATAAACCGCAATACAGCGATGCTTTATGCTTTTATAGAGCTGCTGGCCGGAGCTGCAGGAAGGGGAATCCCTCCGGTGATTTGGGCTTTGGAAACAGGAGGGCTTGGGCCAGCCTGCTTGCCAGGTCCTGGCACCAGCTGTTTATCCCATCTCACTCAGCACCGCACAGATGGCCGCAGCGGGCCTCCTGCAGAGCTGACAACGGGCACCACTGAGTCTGAGCTCAGCCAGCACGGAGTCTTGACTCCGCCCTGGTGGTGTCTGGCTCGCCAAATCTAACACCTAGGGAACAGAGACCTTAATGCCTTGCACTTCCCCGCCGAAGCGTTTGAGCTGGTTTTCTGTTGGTTTTGTAGATGAGAATTTCCCCTCCTTGGCAACCAGAACTATTCAGATTCTCACTATAAAAAGCCTGCCTGTGAGCGGCCTGAAAACCCCGGATGTCGCTCTCTTAGCGCTTTGCTGGGATTGTAACGGCAATGACAGAAATGTCTGCCCAGGGCCCGGGCTTGCACCAGCTGCAAAGACACTGTGGGCTGCAGGCAACGAGGCGACACCAACCCACACTGGCAACAGAGTGGGCCCCTGTGGACTCTCCTTGGTGCTGCGGTCAGGCCCGCGACGGATGCTCGCAAACACCAAAGCGCAGCGGCCTCGCTGTCCACTACCTCTCACGGCTCCCTGAGATCATTTTGTGCCCAAGCGCTACTCCTGGCTTGTAAATGTCAAGAGGAATTATGAACATTTGTGGGGAAAAAACTGTTTGACTAATTTCCTGTTCGACAAAGCAAACACACCACCCCGAGTATTCAGGATCTGGTGCTGACAGCCAGGTTGTGGCAAGCTTCAAGGTTATAGGATCATAAATGGGATTAGATAAGCCAGACAGTGTGGCTCGGGCCCTAGCGCTCTCAAAGTATGAAAATTCCACTGGGAAACGGACCAAGAGTCTTGAAGGGAGAGTAAGCGCTAGCAACCCCACAGAGACAAGAGTAAGTACTGCTAAGGTGGTCATGGGGACTCAGTCGCCTGGGGAGGGGGCGTTTCTAGAAGACACATTAGAATGAAGAAACATTCTAGAATGCAAGACAGAAGCAGGTCGTGATATAAAACACAGAAGTTCTCCGTTTGAGTCAAGTGTGGCCCATCAAGTTTTCAAAAGAGAAAAGATGAAGAAAAGGCAGGGAAGAGAGGCGAACTGACGGCAAGAACCTGGACGTCCAGAGAGCAGAATGCAATGCGCCACATGGACGCCTTTGCATTTTAAATTATCTCTTTCTTTTTTAATTGACCAGATTAATTATCCCCACCTTGCCACTTGGCAGGTAGGGTCACGGTGCCCTTTCACCGCATTAGTGAACCTATTCACGCTTCCTCCGTGTAAATACGGCTGGGAGTTACAGGTCACACTCCGAAACTGGCTTAGTGGACGGCCAGCTTAGTCTTTATTAAAGAAAATCTGTGACATCGGGCATTCCTCACTGCCAGAGCCTGACTTTCTGCTGAGCTTTCCTTCATGTGTCGGAGGGGAGTGGTGACTTCGTTCCTTTTTTTTGTCCAGGAGAAATACAGACTTGTTAAGGTGACAGCATCGGTAGACCCTTACAAAGCAGCTGACGGATTCTTGTTCAAGACTCTCTATTGCCATGAAAATCCTGGCCAAGTTCTTTCGTGAGCTATTTGAAAAGAAATATTTTTGGAGATGCTGTTAAGTTAATTGAGAAAAAATATATTGCCGTCTTTCATTATCTTTGTTTCTAGGCCACTCAGGAAACCCTGAAGGCATTAAAGGTACTCAGTACTTTGACTAACAGCAAGCAGCTCAACGCAGCAGAGAAGGTTTGGTCTGTGGTGTCTACAGCCCCCAGGAGAGCAAGTTTTAAGAAAAAGCCAAACCAAAACTGTCATCTGAAACATTTGGTTTCGTTCAGGAGTTCTGGATCTCAAGTTGACTCCCAGTGTTAAAACATTTCCTCTCTCCAGCACCTGAATGGGATTTGTCCCGTAAAAATGAGTCTGGCAGGAAGGCCTGAGCTCAGGAGAAACTGACAGATATTTCCACGCCACTCATGTTTGCTTGGCATGGTGGCACAAGCCCATACACCTGGCCTGTTCAAGGTGGCCCTGGGCTGCAAAGACCCTGTTTGGAGGGGGCAGGGCGGCGTGAGTTTGAATAGGAGCTCTAAGAGCAGAGGCAGCCTGCCTCGCCGCTTGTCACGTGGTTCCGCGTTCAGTCCTCCCCTACCGAAGAAAAGGAAATCGCCAGTGGAGCCAGGCTCTGGGCACAGTGCAGAGGCTGGACTTTGAGGTGGAGCTTTTACAAAATAAAGCCCAAGTAAATAAGATCCCAAATCCTAAGTCCAGGCATCTCTGTGAAGGTCTACGAAGCACCCAGCTGGCAGTGGAAGGGGCCCCAACTGGCCTTACCCTCTCCATGACTCTACCTTGATGATTAAACCTGAGTCCAGCAGAGTCTTTGGACCACTTGAGTTATCAATTTCTCTCTCCATAAGTTCCATTGGAAATGGTCATTTCAAGAAAGAGAAGTGACATTCTTGACTCCTTAAAATAATCACATTGCTCCTTTACCCTAGACATCCATCCAATCTTGGTAGGACAGCCATTTCCACGTCCTCCTGCAATGGGGCATGGCGGGCAGATGTAGACAGATCTCCGCTAGCATCTGCTTTGTCATGTACCATCATTAGGATCTTGAATAAGTTATTAGATGTAGTAATATGGGGCTGCGGGGCTGCCTCCCCGGCACCCCGGGCCGCCCACATGGCTAGCTTATGCCCGGAAATAATTACACAGACACTGTCTTCTTTTAATCACTGCTTGGCCCATTCTCTTCTAGGCTAATTCTCACATATTAATTTAGCCCATTTCTAATCATCTGTGTATGGCACCCCAAGGTGCGCTTACCAGGAAGATTCTAGCCTATGTCCATCCTGGGTCGGACCTTCATCCCGGGAGTGGGGCATGGCATCTCTCTCTGAGGCATCTGCCCCCGAGAGGAGAGCTGTGGAGTCTCTGAGCTCACTTCCTCTTCCTCCCAGCGTCCTGTTCTGCCTACTCCTCCCACCTATCTTTCAACCAATAAAATGGGCCAGGGCAGTTCCTTTATTAGCCAATGACCTTCCTCCATCAATTAGACATCTGAGGAGTCTAGCCATCTCATCTGGTTACCCATTCTCATCTGCTATCTCATTCTGTTACGCAGAAATACATTACCACTGTTGCATGTTCAAAGCTTGGAATTACTGGATTTTCATTCAAATAGATGGAAGTGGGTTTTGTTCTGTAAAGAAAGCCTCCACTGGCACAGGAAACGCCATTCGAGACCAGACAGAAAGGGCTGAAAGGCTCCAGCCCTGCGTGAGCCCCAGATGGCCAGCAGCCCTGAGCAGTTCTATCTACTGTCCACGGCTGCCTCTCGCCCTCAGCCTGATGGTAAGTTCTATCTACTGTCCACAGCTGCCTCTCGCCCTCAGCCTGATGGTAAGTTCTATCTACTGTCCATGGATGCCTCTCACCCTCAGCCTGATGGTAAGGGGAGCTCTGACTCATCGTCAGGCAGATGTTAGCACATCTGTCTAGATAGAATTTAGTATAGTCGATCTGGCAGCTAGCCTGAACTGCTTCCTCTTCCTTGAAGCTTGGCCTAGACATAAATCAGGACTCAGGTTAAAGGCCTGGTAGATTGCCACACAGCCCACTGATCTGGAACGCAACCCGAGGAAGTGGCAGAGGAACACAGCCATGCTCAGTGTTGATCTCCAGACCCTAAAACACCCAGAAACACCAAATTCTCAGCTCTATGTTCACTGACAAAGGTGGGATTGTGGTTGTCGAGTGCTCATGAGACAACACCCGGAACTGGAACTGGCCTCCGAGGGTACCTGCCCCTCTCCCCATCTGAGATATGCAGATGATTAACGGGGAGCATGTCCATAGACAGCCACCATCCTGCAGGGTTTGACCATTATTACCTGGCACACATTAACTCCACTTCATGAATTCAGATCTTTGAGGATACCTACCTGGTTTGAGGGAGAACATCTAAGGTTGCCTTCAAAAAATGCTCACTGAGATGAAATGCATAAAATATATTACATCCCAGACCTGGAAAATGGTGAAATACCTCTAGTTCCAACTAAGGGGCCCACGGAGGTGTGTGCTATCCCGATGCAGTGGGAGTCTCTAGGGACCCGTTATATTTATTGTTAAAATATTTATTCTGCTCCCCAAGCTTCCTCCAAAATACATGTGGTCTTCTGGAAGGGGTTACTGTTGCCTTCGAGGCTGCTTCACATCGCCAAGGCAAATGAGATCGATGGCTGTGGGCACAGGTGGTCTTAAAGAAGGTGAGAAGCCCTGTTCTTTAAAGCTTGAAGGTGGGGGGGGGGAGAGGAAGAGGAAGAGAAAGAGAGCTAAGAACTGATTCAGCTGCCAACAGATGGTCTACCGTGGCTCCTGGTTGCCAGAGAAACTGATTGAGGTGAGGTTTTTAAGTGGCTACAGACATCCCTACATGTGACAAGGGGAGACATTCGGTATAGCCCCAAACCATTGCCAGAGGCCCGCTCCAGGGCCCCAGACTGGGTCTACCCCCACCGGGCCAGTCACCTCTTCATGGCCTGGAAGATGACTCTGATGGCCACGTCCATCTGGCAGAAATGACAAGGCAGTGAGCTGTCGGGCCAGCTGCTATTAAAGGCTGTTTGTGATCTCCTGGAACCGGCAGCACCAGCTGAAAGCCTCTCCAGGCTGCCCTGGCACTCAGGCCTGGCACTTCAGAGTAGCTCTGTCGGCAGAGCCTAGGTAATGGCACCTCAGAAAGCAATG